TGCATAAATATAAGGTCACACTTTATGTGGACTCCTTCATTTTGATTAAATAAAAATATGACTGAAGAGAGAATTATTAATTTTTAAGATATTACCATGTAAATGTATATCCATGGAAGATGAGAAATCTATTTTGTGCACAAACTTTATACTATAATTCCATTTTTAATATTTAGCTCAGAAACCTATTGCGAATCATTTTCTTCAATGGATGGAAAACGAAAACCTCATTTTTAATTCTGTTTTATGAAATTTATTAATTCAAGCTTATATTTGATCACATTGTTATAAGAGGGAGTCCTAATCATTCTTGGAGGGAGTCCTTAGCTTACCATTCTTAGTTCAGACATAAATGTTCTCAAATGCTTATATTCCCATAACCCTCTGTACATTAGACCCTCAAATGTTATTCTGTTTATCCCTCTTTACTCATCCTAAAAATAAAATCTCGTGGCTTTAAATTAATAAGGAATATTACTAAGAGGTTAATATGATAGAGTTGTCTAAATAAATAATTTGAAATAAAGTTTAAAATTTGAAAGGTTTTGCCTAAAACGTGCGAAATAATACACAACAAAGAAAATGTAACCTGCTAAGATTTCACTCTGTAACTTAAGTTTATTTGGCTAGTTCTGTTAATCTGTGAAATACTCAAGTAGACCCTTGATCAGGACAATTAGGTTACAAGTAGAATTGATTTTTAGCTGTATATTACTTAAAATTGATGTTTATCTGTAGATTTGTACGCTCCTGTGCAGTATTAAGACTGTGTTTCTCCATCCCCTGTATGATTGCATATCTCTAAATTATGAATGTATGCCACATTATTTCTGAATGTTTCTGTATTTGGTAGCCTTGTATATATTGATCTCAACTGTAATGTGTAAAAGATAATGAAAGAAGTTGTTGACTGTGATCTAGATTGTGTTCGTGTATTACACGCAAAACAAAACTAACTCCATCAGCTAATGCACTAATCCTTAAAATTCTTAATGCACTCTGTAAAATTCGACCTGGAGTATTTGTTATATAACACGATCTTCAATTATGACTTCTTACACTATCCCGGTAAATGTCATTATCTAGAAGGGGAAAGGAACTGTAGACTATTACAAAAATGTACAATTGATCGGAGAGAGAGAGAGAGAGAGAGAGAGAGAGAGAGAGAGAGAATTTAAACAATCATGCAATACATTTTGGGACAGTGTTGTATTATAATTTGCATATGGAAAGTCTTTATACATTGATACATACTTATATGTTTTGATTTAAGCAGTTGATTGAGATCTATATTATCTAAAAAGGTCTTGTTTGAATGGCAATATAGTGAATAATGTGAAGTTGATACAAATGTCAACAATAGGTTTTGCTGACCCTCTATTCTATTAAGATATTAAACCTGATTTGACCACTGAGTTACAGTTGCGTTCTTGTTATGGTTTTCTATTCTTTTAGAAATAAATAAAGGAAAAACTCAACTTGTTTGATTATTTCTTTTCTTTGAAGCAAAAATGCAAATTTATCAAGCCTTCTACCTCACCTTGAAATGTAGTGTATTTTTTTTTAACCGCAAGAAATCAAGTCAGTTTTTGTCAAGGAGAACTTTCTACGGATTGTAAATGTATCAAAATGGTTTTTCGCTAGTATTTATTTATATTTTTAAACGAATATATGATACTATATGCGATAAATTTTCAGATCGATTTGTCTCAAATTAACTGTTGATCAGTTAACCCCCGCGTTGTTAAATTTAGTTGAGACGGCAATTTGTTTCTCTTTAACGACGATAATGACTTACTTATATTTAAAAGGAGATGTATCAAGGAATTGTTGATATACAGTTTTTCAGCAGTTGCAGTATCTTTACTTTTTAAAAAGATCATTTACACTTAATGCAATACATTTAATGTAAAATTACTTTTTGATTTTTTTTGTTTTGTTTTCTGCTTTGTTTCTTTAGACGAACACTTGTAAGATTGCAGATAAGTTCTTTTAGAGCTATTTTGTAAGACTACGGTATGTCATTTGGATGCATTTTTTTCTAAATCAAAGACATGTCGAGATTCCGTTCGACATTATTTATAATAATGGCAATCATGCAAGCAGATGACACCCAACAGGTTGATCAATACGTATTACATGCATAACAAAAACTCCTGCAGCTAATGCACTATCCTAAAAATTCAGCAAAATTTGACCCTCGAGTATTTGTTATATATGACTTTGTATTGCATACTAAAATCTTATCAGGAAGATATCCATCCTGTTTTGAAAGCTTCCTACTGTGCGGGAAAATTCCACAAGGACCTGAGACGTCTTTTGTTATTCCAGCAATTTCGCAATAATGTTCGTACACCATCTAAAAGGGTAAAAAAAGTGTTGTAGACTATTGCAAAATACATTGTTGAGAGAGAGAGAGAAGGGAATGGGCTAACAAATATCTTGATTTTGCCTTTTCGCAAAAGCAATGTATCTGAATGCATGAATCCGCAAAGTAAAATATTTATATGATGGAATACCTCTGTTGATATCATTTCAATTTATCTTTGTAAATCATTTCCATAGTCTACTACAGATCTAAAATTAAAAGAAAATTCAAAATGATTATGAATTTTAAAAAATGAAAACAGTTAATGGATATCGAATAATCATCGTGTTAAACAACAGTAAGTATGCTAGATATATGTGTACTGTGACCCCCCCCCCCCCCCTTCACACCTACATTCATATACGTACTTATAAATAAAAAAAAGTATTAGTTTATAGAATCTAAAAATAATAGTACCAGTAATAACAAAGTTAAGATGTTCAACCCTGATATTTAAAACGAAAGATTTTGTTTACAAAAGGTAAACTAAACACCTAAGAACAGTGTTCATTAAAGTGCGGAGAAGGTCACATCATCATGCTTCCATCTATATATTTACAATTATTGGTCTCAATTGACTGAAGTATCTTAAAACTTGTGAATTAAAAAAAAAAAAACTTTAGCAATTTAGAGTCATAAAATACTATTACAGTGTTTGACTCAAAGTGCCAATGCAATTTTAGAGACATGGTTATCTATAGTATATTTAATATGGTCCATAGACCTTGATGGCAGCTTGAGTCAGACCTACATATTGTCTAAGAGAAACCACATTTTAAAAATATTTTTACAATGGCCTTAACATTGAAATATGTGCCTCTGCCTCCTAGGTTCAAGAAAGGAATATCCAGAATATATAAAGCATTTTATATGAAATATACCTGGCCTTATTATAGCGCACTCCGGACCAAAACGTCATGAAAGTGAAGATAACGAACAGTGTTGAATCTCATTAATCCTGTGAATAATTCGAATAGAGAGCAAAACATGGACACAAAAGAGATGGGGTCAGAAGCCCAGGTGGAGTAAACATCCCCTGTCGACCAGTCACACCTCTTCTACTGATCAGATAAAATGAATAATGCGTAGTCAAAATTAGTAAAAAAAAAAATGACTACGCGTACACAACTGGTTAAAATTTGTCAGTCGAAATACAACCCAACAATAGGTCCTTAGAAACAAAGATAAATAACAGGTTCCAGTAATGTTTTAACAAGCCTCTTTCTTTACTCCTCACTAAAATATTTACTGTAATGAAGGAGAATTTTCAGGAGTACTGTTCAACAATATTTTCGAGAAGTGGTGTAAATCAGATGTGGATACTTAAAAATTCCAGAGAACTTTTGGAAGATTTGAAGTCACAAAATTTTACTAAAATTCATATCATTCATTCATATGTCGACTCGATCTTTCCCACTGAGCTTGAAAGAAAAGATACCACAGATTCTGACACATCTGTTTCATATTTAGATATTTTACTAGAAAAAGACATTAATGGTAACCTAACAACAAAGATTTATGATAAACATGATAACTTCAATTTTTCAATCGTCAACTTCCCTTACTTATGTAGCAATATACCCTCATCACCTGCATATGGTGTTTATGTCTCTCAGTTGATTCGATACGCAATAGCATGCTCTACGTACGAACAATTTCTAAAACGAGGCAAGCTATTGACAAACAAGGTAATGAAACAAGAATATCAACAGTCTCGATTAAAGGCATCATTTCGCAAGTTCTATGGTCGATACAATGACCTTGTCAGCAAATACAATCTATCATTAAGTCAAATGCTGACTGGCGTATTTCATACTAATTCTTAGTCCATTATTTACACACTGAATTGGCTACGGATTTTTCAACCCCATTTTTCGCGATCATGACAAGGAGTACATGGCGGGTGTGACCGGTCGGCAGGGGATGCTCACTCCTCTATGGCACCTGGCCCAGCCTCTGATGTTTTAGAGGGCCGTGTTTGCTCTGCTTCTTTTTGTATTGTTTGAAAGGACTTTTAAGCTTGAATACTGCTTGTTGTCTCCATATTTCATTGCATAATTGTAATGAACAGTCATCTTCCAAAATCTAGAAGTTTGATTGATTGATTAATTTTTTGTTTTTTATGACCCGTTCCAGATTTTCTTCACTCATATAGAGATGTCACCATATACGGGTGAAGATCATCAAATTTAGACCTTTACTCAGTACTCAGGGCCATCGGACAGATAAGGTTCTTTAGGTGCCAAGGCTTTCCGTGACACGGGGCCTACATTTTTAAGGTCTCAATCAAGACCCATAACTTCAAAGTGCAGAGCGCTTGGCGAAGGAACAGTTGCTACCTATTTCATATCGACTAAGGTCAGTTGCGGCCAGAGTTTGAACCATTGACCTTCCGACCACGCAGCGAGAGCTCTACTGATTGAGTAACCGTGACGGCCATGAAGTTTAAAACTCATGAAGTGACGCATATACCAGTGAACTATGGTTGGTATAACGACCTTGTTTGCAATGAAATATGAAGATAACGAACAATATTCAATCTTGAAAGTTCAATGAAACGATATAAATTTGGAGCAGAGCAAACACGGGCCTCAAAAATTAGAGGTGGGATCAGGTGCAATGGAGGAGTAAGCATCCCCTGCCGATCGGTCACACCCGCCGTGTGCTCCTTGTCATGATCGGGAAACACTGTGATATATCGAGTCGACATATGAATAGAAGTCACTAAAAGTCACTATAATGGTCAATTGATAATACGTCGTCGATATATCTAAATATTGAGTTGAAGGCCACAGCAAAGTGTTTTCATCTTCTCATGTGTAAGATTTTGAATAAATTCTGCTTCATATAAATAAAAAATAGGTCTGCTAATAAGAGGCGTAATGGAATTCCGACAGATTGTGGGAAGGCCTGGTTTCTTAAAACTACCTTCATGTAGATATTTTCAATCAGACACTTAAGCATCTTTTTTGATGTCAATTTCAGAGTGCTTTTGTGTACAATCAGATGGTTATTTTAAACAAAATAAATTGCAAATAACCCAAGACAAGGTTAATAAATTTGCGGCTTTCATTTTTATTGGAAAAGCAGCTTTCAATGATATAAAAAGCCTGGATTTTAATTTTAATTTTGGGAATGGTTGTATAAGTTGTTGAAAAGTCGTAAGTTTTGGTTGTTTAATTTTGGTCAAATTTTGTGATTAAAAGTTTTCAAATGTTTCTTGGAAATTTTAAGCATCCACATCTTATTTACACCACTTCTTGAATATATTGTTGTACATTACTCTTGAATTTTTTCCTTTTTTCACCACTTGCAGAATTAAACCCAAGTTCCTCTAAAATACATTTAAGATAATGAGCCTTTAAAACAAAGACAATGTTGTTACCCTCTTTGTCAACTGGGACCAGTACATACGGATCGTGTAATCTATTTAATTCTTTTCTCACTTCTGAGTTATTGAACATAGGAAGATAAATAATTTGTCTTCTAGGCGTAGATGCCAAACCTTTCTTTTTAAATACCTCACTGAATAAGATGGATTTTCCTGAGGTCCCGGGTAGAAAAGGCCTTGGATATTCCAAAATATCTTTTTCAGAGTCAAAGTTAAAAATAGTCAAGCGAAGTGACTAATATGAAATAAAGATTCTTCCTCTTCGAACAAAATTAAGATGTAGAAGTGCTCAGTTCTTGTTACTTCCATTATATCCTGCCATAATGATTTCTTTTTTTCGTTTGAATTACTAATAATATGTGATTTTAACATCCATTTTTTCGCGGTTACAGTTGATTTTAGTATTACATCGATATATTTGTTAAATGGTTCCACGGGAACTTGTAGTTGAACAGTCGGCCATTTGTTTTATGATATTATGCAAACCTTTATTTCTGAATAACGTGACAGATACGTATAACAGGATATTGTATTGCTGCAGTCATCTTTGTCCAAGGCACTTATGTCAAATAAAACTGATAAATAGTGAATTGTCGATGGCCACATGGTATGTAAAGCAATTAAACGCCCTCAATTTAAACATTTCCTACTGGTTCAAGCACAAGGATGGTTTTTTCCTAAAGGCAAAAGCAGTCGTAAGTTTCAGTGAGAAAGGAAGC